TTTTTTTTTTTTTTGTGGAATGTGGATAGATGATTCACATACTCACTCCACTTCTCACGTATGGCCCACGTTTTTAATTTGTGAGTTAATAAGGGTATTATTGGAAAATAAATAACCCTTAATTATTGTGCAAAATGCTAAAACGTCAAATAAAATGAATTGGAGGGAGTATATGATTTATGATTATTATTAATATTTACTTCTAATCACATGTGGTAATAAAATTGTGTAAGTTAACTATTTACAGGATGAATTTGAAGATTATACAGATTATTTTCAAGACGGGCAAATACATAGGAGTTATAGTGAAACTCTGCATTATGCTACTTTCTTGCCATATACACAGGGTATGCGTTGAAAATAACGTCAAAGCATTTACCCACTAGTGTATGGCTTAGATGTAATCGGGCCAACAGAAAAAAATCGAAAGATGGAGGGACTCCAAAACCAAGACAGAGAAAGAACACAAAGACCATTGTTTGTGGTTGTGAGTTCACGGTAATATTGAAAAACTTGACTCCACATTCAGAGTTTCATAGTTGTATTATGGAATGTGAAGAGGGTAGACACAATCATCAGCTCGTTGAATATGCAGAGGGACATCGAAAAATGAGTGCTCTTAGTGTTGGAGCAAAAAAATTATTCGGTCGATGGTTCTTTCTCATAAAAATCTGCAAAACATATTGTTGGTTGTTCAACAATCATTTCTGGAGGACAATTATCACATCAGACAAATTTTACAACTACAAGGCAAAGCTCCGGAGGGCATCATTTGGGAAAGGAGTATGATTCAACAGTTCTACAAGTTGGCTTAGGACAACGAATATGATATTCAATCGCTTAGAGATCATGATACAAAGAAGATAACTCATGTGTTCTTGGTCCATCCAGAGTCGAAAAAGACACTTAGAGCATACCCTTGGGTCATTGGCATGGACTCCACGTACCGGACAAACAGGTACGAGATGCCTTTGTTTCAAATTATTGGCATGACTCATGGTAATAAAAAAATTTTGATCGCGTATGCAATTATTAAGGATGAGTCAGCTAATAGTTATCGATGGGTGTTGAAGAACTTACGGATTTTGACTCAGTCAACATATTAAAAAAAAAAGGAAAATATGGCGGGCCGTCTCGAGCACCAACCTAGACCCGGTCCATTAAGTCAAATTTTTTTATACATGAGGCCCCGAATCGGCCTAGTCAAACTACGAGCTCGGTTCTGAACTTGTTAACCATAGGCCGGTTCGGGTGAACCGGCGGACCTGGCTAGGCCGGCCCATGGCCATGACTAGTATTCTAAACCCATAAGATGTAAACATGAACTAAAAAATATGCACATCTACTTTGATTCACTAAAAAATGAGGTCATTTCTATTGGACTAATAGTCTAAGTGAGATCAATTCTCAACTATGAGAATTGTTTATAAAATAATAAAAAATTACGATTCTATTAAAATATGAGTCTATTAAAAAAATAATTTGTCATTATTAAATATGATTACGATGCTATTATTAAAATTATATTTAAAATAAGTGTATATTATAAAATACAATTCTATATCCTTTTAGATTTGTTGCATGGGTTGATGTTATGTTGATTATTGTAAGATAATTGGAAAAGTAGTGGGGGTGATATGTGGAAAAAATTAAAAAATCAGCTTTGCTATATATGATTCTTTAGAAATTGTCAGTGGCTGAGATGATTGGGGAACTTGAGGCAGCTGAGAGGATTATCCACGAGGAGCGAGAGATGATTCTTGCAGAACGTGAGATGGCCTCATCCTCTAAGTCCGTAGGGATAAAGAGGAAAAGGGGCTCTATTCAGGAAGCAATGGAAACATCCGGAGCTGTGCGATTGGGACAGAAGGTCGACTGCCCTCTCCTCAAGAAAGGCAACTCTCTCGTTAATGTCGTAGAAACATGTTTAGCAGTCGTATCTACCAGAACCTGGTGTGTAGATACTGGAGTCACTGATCATGTCTGCAATTCATTTCAAGGGTTCCAGGAAACCAGACGGCTTAGGGAGGGAGAGATCACCGTCTACATGGACGATGCTACGAAAGTGGCAGCTGTTGCAGTGGGAGACGTTACTTTATCTTTTGATAGTAGTAGTTTGGTTTTGAGGCATTGCCTTTATGTTCCTAGTTTTAGAAAGAATCTTATTTCAGTTTCTAAACTCGTTATGAATGGTTTTCATTTACGTTTGATTATTTGCTTATTATTCGTTATGGGAAACGCTTCATATGTTCTGGTTTATTAGTTGGCAATTTATATGTTCTTAAACCAAACTCTCCCACACTGCAACAAACTGAATTGAATAATGTCATGACTAAATCTAATAAGAGTAAGGAATCTTCGAGTATGAATCAAGCATATCTTTGGCACCTTAAACTTGGGCACATCACCTTAGGAGGATTCAAAAGTTAGTGGTCGATGGACTTCTTGGTCCATTGAAAGAACACTATCCAACTGGCGAATCATGCCTTGAAGGTAAGATGGCCAAGAGGTCGTTTTCGACAAAGGGGTATAAGAGCCAAGAAGTGCTAGGATTGATTCATTCTGATTTATGTAGTCCTATGTCGATCCAGGCTTGAGGAGGTTTCGAGTACTTTGTCACTTTTATTGATGATTACTCGAGATATAGGTATATTTATCTGTTGCACCGCAAGTCCGAATGCTTTGAAAAATTCAAGAAGTATCGGGCAGTTGTGGAGAAGCTTCATGGTAAAAGTATCAAGTCACTTCGATCTGATCGAGGTTGCGAATACCTCTTTGGAGAGTTCAGGACGTATTTATCAGAAGCTATTATTGAATCCCAATTGAGTGCACCCGGCACGCCAGCAGAACGGGGTTGCAGAGCGAAGAAATAGGACTCTTATAGAAATGGTTAGGTCGATGATGAGTTATTCAAAGTTACCAGATTCATTCTGGGGATTAGAGTTGGAAACGGCAGTGTATATTCTGAACATGGTTCCTTCAAACGCAGTTGAGACTACTCCTTATGAGATGTGGAAAGGGCACCAACCCAATTTCTCACAGTTTCGAATATGGGGTAGCCCTGCACATGTGTTAGTACAGAAAGCTGGCAAGTTGGAGAAACGTTCGGAAGCACGAGTGTTCGTTGGCTATCCCAAGGGAATGAAAGGTGGATTATTTTATAGTCCCGAAAATTAGAAGGTGATCATTAGCACGAACGCTAGATTCTTGGAAGAAGACTATATTATGAATCACAAGCCCTCTAGTAGACTAATCTTAGAGGAGTTCAGTGGTGAAGTTGATAGTTCCCCACCGAGTGCGCAAGTAGATACATCACATAATACTGCAACACGACACACTAAGAGTATAGCAGTGCAGACAGTACCTCGTCGTAGTGGGAGAGTTTCTCATATACCTGACTGATGGATAGGTCTTGGAGAGTCTAAGGGCTCAGTTCCAAGAAACCTAGAATCGGACCCAAGGACCTACAACGAGGCAAGTTAAGATAAATATGCAGATTCATGGAAAGTTGCAATGAATGCTAAAATAAGGTCAATGGACTCTAATCAGGTCTGGGATCTTGTAGAACCACCCGATGGGGTACGACCCATTGGATGTAATTGGATCTATAAGAGAAATAGAGGATCGAATGGGAAGGTACAAAACTTCAAAGCTAGACTTGTTGCGAAAGCTTATACCCAGATTGAGGGTATAGAATATGATTAGACCTTTTCGCCAGTAGCTATGCTTAAGTCCATTCGGATTCTCTTGGCTGTAGCCGCTCATATGGATTATGAGGTCTGGCTGATGGATGTCAAGACGGCTTTCCTTAATAGAAACCTTCTAGAGGAGATCTATATGCAGCAACCAAATCATTGCTGAATGACGTGAGCATCTAGTGTGTAAGCTTAATCGGTGTATTTATGGACTGAAGTAAGCTTCGAGATCTTGGAACATTCAGTTCGATGAGGTGATCCAGTCGTACGGGTTTACTCAATGTCCGGATGAGCACTGTGTGTACAAGAAAATCAATTGGAGCGTGGTGGTGTTTCTTATGTTGTACGTAGATGACATACTTCTCATTGGCAACAATAAGGAGTTGTCAGACGTGAAGGTATGGTTGTCTAAGCAGTTTGATATGAAAGACTTAGGAAAAACAGGACACATTCTTGGTATTAGGGTCGTTCGAGATCGTTAGAAGAGAATGTTGTGTTTATCCCAGTCTACATACATAGATACTGCCTTGGCTAGGTTCAGCATGCAGGCCTCCAAGAAAGGTACCTTACCTTTTAGGAAAGGAATCCCTCTCTCTAAGGAGATGTCTCATAAGACGTCTCAAGAGATAGAGGACATGAAGACAGTTCCTTATGCATCGCCAGTAGGAAGTCTTATGTATGCAATATTGTGTACTAGGCCAGATATCAGCTACGCCATAGGCTTGGTATATAGATATCAAAGTAATCCGAGTAGGGAACATTGGTCTGCAGTGAAACATATACTCAAGTACTTGAGAAAGACTAAGGAGTACATGTTAGTTTACCGTGCAGACAGCTTGTTACCTCTGGGTTACAGTGATTTTGATTTTCAGTCAGATAGGGACGAAATTAAGTCAACCTCTGGTTATGTGTTTACCTTGGGAGGTAGAGCCATTTCATGGAGGAGTGCTAAGTAGGAATGCGTGGCAGACTCCACCATGGAAGCC